TCGTAAATATGATAGTGACCAATCTGTTTGTATTTCAAAAAATGTACATGTTCCATTAAATTAAATTAAAAAGAGAATAGTAAATAACTTAGTGTGTATTGCAGTTCATGTCATAAATGCGAGAATGCTGTATGTAAATGATATGCAAAATTAATATGCAAATTTATGCTAATTAGGACGCCCACCAGCTAATTTGGATTGTGGAGAACACTGATACCTACAAATCAGGACAAAAATACCAATCTTTCACAAAAATACGGTCCGTTGGGGTTATATTAAGCCAACCGATAACAAAACTCGGCGTAATTCGTCGTTTTTGTGTGGAAAAATCCCCTGCATACGAACACCTAATTACGCGAAGAACCTGGAACACTAAGCCGGGGTATTTGAAACCGAAATTGTCATCTAAGCGTTAGGCCATCGCTGATTGGCTGCTGAGCTGGAATGCCAAAATAAAGGGTTGGACTACTACTTTTTTGTTTATGCCTGGGAAGAACAATGTAAGCTTTTTACAAATAATTTCAGCTGGATGTACATTGGTGGACGGGTGTTGAGAGTAACTAGGCTGCCACAAAACTTGTGGAGAACCCCTTATGGAGAACACTGAAGGTTGAGTCAGATGTGAAATCTGTCAATTCTACCGTAGCTGGTCACTTTAGTTCTTTAGATTCATTTGGTTTAAAAATAAACTAAATTAACAAATGTACTGTAAATATTGTCTATAAGCTGGCTGTGTGTTGCCCATAAGCTGGCTGTATGTTACCCATAAGCTGGCTGTGTGTTACCCATAAGCTGGCTGTGTGTTACCCATAAGCTGACTGTATGTTACCCATAAGCTGACTGTATGTTACCTATAAGCTGACTGTATGTTACCCATAAGCTGACTGTATGTTACCCATAAGCTGGCTGTGTGTTACCCATAAGCTGGCTGTGTGTTACCCATAAGCTGGCTGTGTGTTACCCATAAGCTGGCTGTGTGTTACCCATAAGCTGGCTGTGTGTTACCCATAAGCTGGCTGTGTGTTGCCCATAAGCTGGCTGTGTGTTGCCCATAAGCTGACTGTATGTTGCCCATAAACTGACTGTATGTTGCCCATAAGCTGACTGTATGTTACCCATAAA